CAAAGGATCAGGGAGAGTAAAGGTAAGCCTCGGAGCCCCAGAAACAGGCTGGTGGGTGTTCCACGACCAGGGAAGTAGAGGGAGGTGAGGGCGGGGCCAGGGCCAGAAGCTATGTTCCTGGATCCCAAGAAAGGGACTGAGTTGGTCTGGGTGCAAAGGATCAGGAAGCAGTATTGGTTCCCCAGGTGTCTGGGGCCCCAAGACTAGGAATGGCGCAGGGTCCAAACTAGGAGTATAGAACGGTGGCGTGGGGGTGGGGGTGGGGGATGGTAGGCTGAATGTGGCTTAGGGAGTCCTGGCGGGGAGAGTTGCGCTATAGACTTACCCCAAGAGGCCTGAGGATGGTAGTGCAGGCTAGGAGAGTTAGCCGGTGGTGCAGGCCCAGGTAAGCAGAGAGGGGTGAGGGCGGGGCCAGGACTAGAAGCGGTGCTCCTGGAGCCCAAGAAAGGGACTGAGTTGGTCTGGGTGAGGAGGATCAGGGAGCAGTATTGGTTCCCCAGGTGTCTGGGGCTGGGGCCCCAAGACTAGGAATGGCGCAGGGCCCAGACTAGGGGTATAGAACAGCGGGAGGGATGGAAGGGTGAATGTGGCTTAGGGAGTCCGGGCGGAGAGAGCTGCGCTACAGACTTACCCCAAGAGCACTAGCACTGTTTCTTAGTATAAATGATGTTTGTGTATAATATCCAAAATAGGCTAAACATCCTCCCTTCAGGCTAATATATTTATTTGCTTGAAAGCTAATTAATAAGAACTAACCTGCTTTTTAGTTACATATTCTAATTTAGCAGAATGTAAATTAATATTCGCATTTATTTCTTAAATGTTTTAAGTCATCATACTTAAAATACTTATTAATAACAAGCATGACTAGTGTTTAAGATAGTGAGAACTGTTGCTGCTGAATGTGACCTTGCATTTATTTCCTCCTAATGCCACACCTCAGATAAGTGGCCAGGTGGAGTCTGATTTGAAGCAGGTAGAGCAAGCCCACCAGTCCTTCACGTCAGCAGAATAGAGGCTTCACGAGTGTCAGGAGAGTCTGCAGCACTGCAAGGACAAGTGTGTAATGCAGGCACACACTGTTAGGGAGCTTCAGGGCCAGGTGTCCGTCGTTCTGAGTCCTGCAAGATGTGTTGAATGAGCATTTGGAGTTTTTCACCAGTTGAGGGCACTAATGTCGGGGTGATGTTTTTATTCCCATCTACACCAGTTAGTGAAACATTTTCATGCGCATACTGTAATATTTTTTGCAAGCTATTCATTTGATATTTTATGATGATAAAATGGTAGTTAGAATAGCTAATTTAGGTTATTCTTGCAAGTCTCTAGACACTAGAAGACTGGTGTGGCAATGTAATTGGGGGAGGAGCACTACTGTGCTTGCATGGGTCCTTCTTGTGGCAAGATAAGGCAGGTTATGAAGAACTTTACAACAACTAGAATTCATTTGGATTAGAATTGTGTATCGAGTATATTGGGATTAATCCAGTCTTTTTTCTTAATGTGAACTAACCCATCAGAATAGGGACCGTGTGTGTCCTGTTAATTACCACACAGCTACCTCCTAGCTTAATTCCTACCACACAGAAGGCACTAGCTAAATATTTTAGAATTGCTTAATGTTTTTTCAGAGAAGCAGGTCCTGGAAGCCAGTCTTTTTGTTTACTTACAAAACATGTTTATGAAGAATTCACTTTGTGTCTTCCAAATGTAATGTGGATTTTCATTTTGAAATGCATTCTAGTTCTAAAAACATGAGTCAAGATTTCGGTGAATTTAAATTCCCAAGAAGAAATTCTTCTAGAAAGACATCAAATTATATTTTACTCAAATTAGTACTCAAACATATGAGAGAATATTTTATTACTAAGGCTTCTTAAATGTTTAAATCAGCCTTTGAATCAATGGGAAGAATAGTCTTTCTTGACTTGGGCAAGTATATCTTTGATTTATTTATTTATTTTATTTATGGATAGCCACTTCACAGATAATTATCAATCAGTCCTTTAAATGAAACATAAATGAAATGAGAAACCTTATGTATCTAATTAATGGTCACATTTTTCATACCATTTTCTTTTCCTTATTTTTTTATTTTAGTTTTGAGAGAAGATTGCTTGTGGTCCAGGCTAGCCTCAAACTGAGAATGAAGTTGAATTTCTGATCCTACAGCTTCCATTTCCTGAGTGCTGGGGATTACAGGTGTACACTAACATGCCTGGCTTTATGTGGTATGGGGGACTGAACCCAGGTTTTTGTGCATGCTGGGCAAGCACTCTACCAACTGAGCCACATCTCTAGCCCCAGTTTACATATTTTTTACTGAATAAAATTTCCTTTTTCAATAAAGTATTGTATAGAATGTTTAATTACCATCACCCAGAAAAAAATATTTAGTTTATTTTTCCAACATAAAAAATTTAAGTTTTTAAAACCTAACAAGGAATTTGAGCAATTGTATGTTGGAAGTGTAAGCATTTCTTGGTGTCTTTCTGTGTATTCACATCTTATTTCTTGTGATTGTTCTAACAAGAGAAGTAAATTTCTTTGGAAGTTGATGAGGAAAATAACCAAGAGAACATTTTTCTTAGGTTGATGGAAATGAAAATCTTCTAATCAAGCTTTCTCTTGAAGAGGAAAATTATCTTATTCAGTTAAAGTGTGAAAACCTTAAACAGTAAGTATCAACTTGACTTCAAACTGATCCTCCATTCTCCTGCACACAGTGTAACTTCACAATGTATGTGTTTCTGTAAAAGAAAATTGGAGCAGATGGAGGTGGAGAACAAGGAGCTGGAGAAGAAGCTGGCGGAGCAGGAAGACTGTCTCCTGCAGAGCGAACTGAAGCTGAAGGAGAAGGTGTTGGAGTCCTCGGCGCTGTCCAGGCAGCTGGAAGCCGCTGTGGTGGAAGGCAGGCAGAAGGTACGGCCTGGGCTCAGGAACTGTTTAATTAGTTTGCCAGACCCATCTCGTATTCCCAAACTACAGTTATTGTTTGTATCCTGATGACAGGGTTGAGGGAGCAGTTCCATTTTTGTTCTTTACCTAATTTTCCCTTGGAGCAAGACACAGATGTATTACTGAGCCAGAGCTGCTTTTCCAGATAAATGGTGATGTGGCAGGAAAATGGGCAGAGATGGAAAACACTTTGAGGGGGTAGCCCCTCCATGCACATGACCCCTTGTATATGTAAATAAAGCAAATTGAATGTGCATGTGATTGCAGTTTGGGGTTTAGATTGGGAGCCAGTGGGCCGTGCAGCCCAACTTCTTTGTGACAAACGTTTGTTGCATGAACAAATACATATAAGAATTACATTCCATTTCAGTCTTTTGAGTTATCTTTCAGTCTCCCCAGATGTCTCGGTGTGTGGAACACTTTGCTAGTGCTTGAGGGGCAGGTAAAAAGGCCTGGCTTCAGCCTTTGGGACACCGTCAGTATAGTGGGGATGTCATCCCACTATAGGTGCAAGTGACACCAAGTAGGTATCTCCACCTGAGTGGAGGAGCAATGATTGGGAAGATCTCAAAGAAGAGTCAAATTTATCAAACAGTTTGAAAATCTAATGTTGAAAGACCTTAAAGTGAGCTTTGGAGTCCCATAGGGACTGAATTTGAATTCTGACTTGGACACATTGTACCCTCATTGAGGACAGGCTGCCTCTCTAAACTTTAGTTTCCTAACCAGGAAAATGGGTTGATGATTTTCCTTGTAGGATGAGTGAGGCTAAAAAGCGATCATCTACCCTGATGACTTTTATGCCTGTCCCCCCTGAAATCCAGACTCATGTATTGCTCTTAACTTGGCATCTCTACTTAACACAGACATGTCAAACCTAACATATCAAAATCCTTTCCCTCCCTCCTGACTCTCTTTTAATTACTGTCTTCCTCAAAGTCAATAATACTAGTTCTATAAAGTTTAAAATCCAATCCTTGAAATGTGGCTCTTGCTTCACAAATGTCACATTTATTTTTCTTAAGCTCCAAGAAACCAATTTAAACTGATTTTAGGAGACATGTCTGACTACAAGCTAAATAACAAAATGTGATGTCAGGTGTAGCCATGTTCTACAGATTTCTTAGCCCCATCAACCTTTAGGAGGAAGATCAGAGGTCGCTTTATCTTGAATTCAGCCCAAGTAGACCTTAAAATACCAGGTGCTCTCAGCTTTCTTCCCAAAGTGTCCCAGAGTCCCCTTCTTTTTTTTCGTACTGTAGTGGAAATTTCTGACCAATTGAATGGGCCGTCGTTGCTTTATCATGCTTGTCCTCAGGGGCCAGTGTTCAGGGCATTCACTGTTGTCCATAAGACCCCTCCTCTTCCCTCCCTGCCTTCAGATCTCACAAGTGTCCCTCACTTATAGTTAACCTTTGCATTTGTGCAGAAGTTCGTAAATCAGTTTATAATAGCTTAGAGCCGAGTCTTCAGAGTTAGGATAGAGCTCAGTCCTTGCCACTCCTGGTTCCTGAGCCAGCCTTTGCCTCTGCCTTCATGCCTGTGGCTCCAACCCAACATATTTATAGGTAGACTTTGACATATCAGAGTTTTTGATAAACAGCTAAGCTAGATTTTCTGTTAACATAAGCAACCAGAGAAATATAGAAACCCTACTCTCAGGCTGCATTGACAATGAAGGAATAGAGAACCAGTCTGTGTGTATGTCTAGGTGCTGTGTGTGTGTCACCTCTCCATTCTGTCTCTCCAAATACGTGATCAGTATTTAATGAGAACTTGGTGTATTCCACAGTACTCCAGATACTGCGATGACTGTAAATACCACTAAAAATGGCAATTGGGCTTCGTGTGCTTTAAACATATGCTGTTGGGAAGATCTCCACCAATGTCACAAAGCAGTGAAAGTGTACACAGGTCTTCTGTGCAGGTTAACTTCAGAGATACTTATGCTGTGATGATATATGCACATACTTACAGCACGCATGCTTCTTCAGATAGAGTATCTCTTCTGTTTTTCTTTTTGAGGTACTGGGGATTGAAGCTTGTTCAGTCGTGCTAGACATGCTAGGCAGTCACTCTACCACTGATCTCTACACCAGCCCAAGATGAAATCTATTTAAACGTTTTTCTAGTGAATTTGTCCAATACCCAGTTAACATCTATTTGGGAAAAAAGTATAGTATAACTATATCAAGGCTTTAAAATATATTTTAAGGAAAGCACATTTAATTATTTCACTCTTTTAATAAAAATTACAGGTTTCTGAAGAAGTAGAGAAAATGTCAACTAGAGAGAGGGCTTTCCAAATTAAAATATTAGATCTGGAAACTGAGCTTAGAAAGAAAAATGAAGAGCAAAACCAGCTTGTTTGCAAAATGAACAGTGTAAGTATTAGTGTGGCTTAATATATTATCATAAAAACCAAATTAGCATTTAACATTCATACCATGTAGTTTACATAGGTAAAGTACAAGGCTGTTTTTTTTTAACTGTTAATATTAAAATAACAAAGAGTAAAATGCAAAGACTATAAATGTCATGATCATGCCAAAGACTTCATTATCCTGCTTTCTGGTGGCCTCTGCCATACCACCTGCTTTCTGGTGGCCTCTGCCACACCACCTGCTTTCTGGTGGCCTCTACCACACCACCTGCTTTCTGGTAGTGTCTCTTCTAAGTCTCATCAGCCCCTTTCCCTGCATATTGCGTTTCTATGGCAGCTGCTTAATCTGTTTAACTTTCACTGAAATTTTATTTACTTGAATTTTTCATCTTTTAAAGGTATATGCAATGTAAACAGTTATGAACTAGATCTTTATATCTATTTTAAATAGTGAGTGTTATATCTTAAGACATATAATTTGGTGTTAAGTAGATATTCAGTGTTGTCAAATCTGCTTGAGATGGATGCTTTGACCCATCAGCCCTGAAGTGAGATTACCAAGTTAGCCGTGCTTGATTAGTCTGTGTTTCTTCCTGAATATTCATGTCTGTTGACATAAGATCTTCTTGAAGCTGGCCTTAGTCATGATTAAATTACTTAATAACTACCTACTCAACAGTGACACAGAAAATAATAGTCCTTTCTTTTTCTAGGAGCTGCAGATTCTGTGAAAACTTTTTCTTTTAAGTTTCAAGTATCTAAAAAGTTGTAAACCTAAGGGGTTCAAAAGTTGTTATTTTAATATATACTGTTTGACTTTATTACCTTCTAAAGTTTCATAAAAATTTAGTCAGAAGAAAACATTTATCACTTTTCATTTAACATAGTCATTTGTGGGGTTTCTAAACTTTTGTTTTTTTTAATATTTTATTATTTTTATTTTATGTGTATGAGTATATTGCCTGCATGTATGTGAGTGCACCCATGTCGTGCAACGATGCGGAGGTCAGAAGAGGGCTTCGGATTCCCCTGGAACTGGAGTTAAAGATGGCTTGTAGCCGTCATGTGGGTGCTGGGAATCGAACCAGGGTCCTCTGCAAGAGCAGTCAGTGCTCTTAACCACTGAGCCATCTCTCCAGTCCCTGGGGTTTCTAAACTTAAAAAAAAATAACCCTCACTGTCAGAGTTTCTGACATTGTAAAATGCATGTGATATTTGTGCAGTTGAAACCTATGAAAAAGAAAGGAAACTAAGATGAGACGCGTTTCCCTGTACTGTGTATTTTGCTAAAGCTACTGAAATAAATCGGTTTAAGATCTGATGTTAAACCTAATCATTGTTGCACTTGTAAAAATCTAGAGTTCTGAGGATAATGGAAACTGAGTTATTATGTTCTGTGCCTTCCAAGGGACAGACAGTTCAATGGGTAATTAGTATCCACTTCAGTGCACATGTTAGCCTTGATGGAGTTGTACATGCTCAGAGAGCCTGGCCATCGTTGACTGTCCCGTGTCTTCCACGGTGCCTTGCCTACCCTTCATGGTTTTGGTCCTTGTACTTTAGTTGAGGGGTGGACTGGATACACAGCTTTAATGTGACCTCACAGCCCAACAACCATGGCAACCCTCTTCAAGCTATAGTATTTGTATTCTGCCAGGCAATATAAGTATGATTGTGTCACTACTGTTCTCTCCAGTTGGTGCCCCATAAAGACCTGCTCCATTCATTCTGTGACTTTGTGCAGTCCTAACTAGCAGCACATGAGCACACTACCCCACTTCTCTTGCAGGGCTCAGTTGCAAGTGTCAGGTGTCCTTGAACACCTTCTGTGAGGGAAACACAGGATCTCTCTTCTTAGGGTGCTTGGGTTCAGTTGGAGACCTGTCTTTGCTAAAGCATTTGCAGTGATGCACCTACCCAGGAGTTTATATGCAGCTGAAGCTAAAAATCATATGCATTTTAAAACTGCTTCCTCTAAGGACATGTGATAAACCAGATGCTTTTTATTTTATAAGGGTTCTGAATAGAAAATGTTCATCTTTCCAAGACTAGAATTCTGTCAGTTTCTAAACAGTGAATCTTGTGGGATAAAATATGAACTTTTCAATAAGAAAAGAATGGCAGAAAAAAACCTGTAAAAAGATGTCATATTCAATACAGTGGAAACTAGTAATGTCTGTTTTAAATAAAATAATCTTGTTAATAGGTTAAATATATAATAATTTGAGGCTAAGTAGATGTGTGTTACAATAAATTGCCAAAGTAAGGGTCAACTGCATGTGCTTTAGTTATTAAGAGAATCATTTTAAAGGAAGGCGATGCTGAAAAATTTTTTGAGAAAATAATATATTCATTTATTGCACATATACTGTAACTTTCACTCTTTCATTTGAATGTTTATTATCTGTGTTTCTTTCTTTTTTCGTTTAGAAAGCTCAACGTCAGGATATGTGTTTGAAAGAAATACAGCACAGTCTTGAGAAGTCGGAGAATCAAAATGAGAGTATTAAGAATTATTTACAATTTCTTCAAATGTCCTATGTAACAATGTTTGGATAAATTATTGAATTTATTTTATTTGCCACTAATTGTTATATTTTATGATTTATAAGTAGCAGCATTAGAGTTTGTGAAGCGGTTTGAAACATAAGAAATGGTAGCTGTTAGTATTCCTTTTTGGTGGATAATCCTCATTTAACTGGTTTAATTCCTTTTTAAATTATTAACTTTTAGAATAGTTTTCACTGAACAGGAAAAAATCAGAATCATTCTTTTTGAACAATCTAGGTAAATTTGTAATAAATCTAGGGCCATTATAAGCCAAATACATGATTTTAAATAGTTTAGTTGTTTTATATTGTAATGCTATATAAACAAAATATTTATAAATTTAATTTTAATAATGGTATAAGATAATTTCTAAAATAACAAATGCCTTACTGTATTTAATATTGCCTCGAGTGTATGTTGTGTTTCTATTACTATTTGTATGAGCTTTTAAATATAAAATATTAAATCACAGCTGTTAAATGCCAGCTGATAGTATCAGGAAAACATGTTGGTATTCAGTTTCTTTTTATAGGTGTTCAGGCTTTCCTATGACTTCATAACCCCTTCTTTCATTTTGTGTTAGAGATTATCTGATATTGTTTACTATAGGAATCCTAAACCACATAGAGTTAGCAAGATTACAGACCATGTCTTTCATCCCAGGACTCAGGAGGCAGAGGCAGAGGCAGGGGCAGAGGCAGGTAGATCTCTATGAGATCCAGGCCATCCTTGTCTACATAACAAGTTCTATGCCAGTTAAGACTGCAGGGATACTCTGTCACAAAAACAGAAAAAAAAAAAAAAGAGGGGGGCAACTTATCTCAGCCTTCTCCTGGCCAAAGTACATTGAGTAAAATAAGCCCTCTTAATACCAAAAAGTGTTAGGATAAGGTCTTTGTTATGAAGTCAAAGAGAAACCAGAGTACCTTCCCCGTAACCACCCTATGTGCCATAGTGGGGTGATTGGGAAGGGAATGGATATGGCTCACAGGGATCAATTGTGACTTCTCCGGACAGTGACTTGTGAGTCTTCATTTAAAGGGACACTCAGTCTTAGATCACTCAAACCAAGCATGGTGGCACAGGCTTTAACATAATCCCAGCTACTCAGGTGGCCTAGTCAAGAGGATTGGATTTCAGTTCAAGACTTACCTGAACTACAGAGTGAGTTAGAGAGAGTCAAGGCCAATGTGGTTAACTTACTAAGACTGTCTCAAAACCAAGAATGAAATCAAAGAAGCTGGGCACATAGGTCAGCAGTAGATTAGCTTATAGAAGGCTTCAGGTCCACTCCTCTGTGTCACAAATAATCACAGTAGTGCCATTCACAGAGGTAGAACAAAGTCTATCTGGTTAGCTCAGGCTGGCCTTGAACTTGTGATTCTCTTACCTTAGCCTTCCAATTCTGGTTTCAGTCACAGATGCTTAGATGTGGAACAGTAGAAGCAGGAAGGAGTTAATTACCATGGCTGCAGTGTGAAACTTAAGGTTTAAAGCTGACATTTGAACTCAAGTCTTCTGGCTCAAGTCTTCTGGCTCCAAAACTGCCTTCCTGTTTGTGCTGGATACCTTTAGTGTCAATTTGACACACCTGGGTTGGGGGAGCCTCAATTGGGGAATTACCTCCATTGGACTGGCCTGTGGTGGTGTCTGTGGGGCATCTTCTTGATTGTTGAGTGATGTGGGAGGGTCCAGACCATTGTGGGTGGTGCCACCCCGGGCAGGCGGGCCTGTGTTATATAAGAAAGCAGGTTGAGCAGGGGCCAGGGGAACAATTCGGTAAGCAGTGTTCCTCCATGGTCTGTGCTCCAGCTCCTGCCTCCAGGTTCCTGCCCTGAGTTCCTACATTGGGCTCCCTCAGTGATGGACCGTGACCTGGGAGATGTAAGCCAAATAAACCCTTTCCTTCCCAAGTTGGTATTTGTTAGATTTTTGGAAAATAAAAGGAAAGATAGAGGAGTAGGAGACAAGAAACCAGAGCCAGACCTGCAACAGGCAAGGAATAGATCTTCCTTTATTCCAAGAAGATAGAGTGAGAGATAGAGGCTGTCCACCGGAACCAAGCATCTACAACTAGACAGAGAAACCGGGTGGCGGGGGGGCGGCGCACAACTACACTTACTGGGGAGTCGAGTTAGTGTTCGGCCTTAAAGGTCTCCTTCTCAAGATTATTTACCCAGGAACTGGCAGGAATGTTATCTATGGCCTTAGAGGATACAGGTGAGCTCCACAAACATTTCCTCTCAGGCTTGGGAGTGACGAGCTGATAAGGGATGAGCAGTCAGGTCTTTAATCTATAACTGTTAGGTCACTGGGGAAACTTTGTACTTTTACAATTTAGAGCCTTTTGGCTACTCTGATGATTTTTATGCCTTTATGGCTTCCTCTAAGGAAGCTCATGGTTTTTCTGAGGTTCACATAGTCTGTCAGTATTGTTCAAGAGTGTTTTGT